TTGATTTCGATGACCGGAAGGAATCCCTTCCGGTCATCGAGACCATTGATGACCGGAAGGAATCCCTTCCGGCCATCGAGACCATTGATGACCGGAAGGGATTCCCTCCGGTCATTGGGACCATACAATCTCGATGGCCGGAAGGGATTCCCTCCAGTCATCAAGACTGTACAGTCTCGATGACCAGAGGGAATCCCCCCCGGCCAGTGGGAGGGAAGCGACTCCCAAACCTCCCACTTGCCAAGGAGGTTTTGGGCGCCGACTCCCACCCAAAAAAATAAAAAAAAATAAAAAAAAAATAAAATTGGATTGGGAGGTCGACCCCCAATCCCCCAGGGGGGATTGGAAGGACGACTCCCGTCCGACGACCCCTCGACCAAAATGGGAGTTGTCGTCAAATTTTTGGGAGTCGTTTTTCCAACCCCCTAAATAAACATTCTAGAATATTCTAAGAATTCCCCCAAGGGGGACTCTAGAATATAAAAGGAGGCCACTCCTGGCCTAAGATTGGTTCCTTGGTAAATTCACCCACAAAATACTTAGAAGTACAGTGAATATTCTCCTCCTAATTTTAGAGTAGTTATCCCAATCCCAATCAACATTTTACTACTGGAATTATTAGTGTGTAACTTTGAAATTCCCCTTTCATCCCATACTAAAATTCCTTATAAAGAATTTGCTGCAAGAATACCACCTCTGATGAGTAGCCAATCATCCCAAGTGCTTGCTAGCTGCTTCTTAGAACTTTTCATTGATTAACCTTTCCAGATATAAAATTTGGACCACAGAGATCCCTCAGATAAATACTCTTATAACAGGAACTCCTTCATCATCCATCTCAACCATTCCAGAAATCTAACAAAGGTAATAAAATAGTATCCTCACTAAAATAAATCATGAATTACACCACATTCTATTTTTCTTAATGTAACTCTCCCACAAGCTATTCATGAGGGCAGTCTCACCCACACTCAAATACTATTTTTACTATTCAATAGTCTTATTACCTATCTAGCCCCTCTAAGCTCTTTTCTCCTTGCTGAGAAGTTCCACGCTGCCTAGGGATGCTGTATTTGAGT